ACTTTTCCCTGCGTGTTATTCCTCTTCACGCCCAGAGCAGACGTGTCTGTAGCGTGGTCTTCCTCTGGGCCTTGGCTTTCCTCTGCTGCTCAGCAGTGGCGGTGAGGAGGCCTCTGTCTGGAAGTCAGGGGGTTCCTTAGAGCGTTTCTTCTGTCCCAGGCCCCATGACTAAAGTCAATGGAAAACTACAAGAAACCAATCCAGGCAGGACCAGCAATGGCCCAGACCCTTCGGGAATGTGGGTTGTGGTCCCCTCCAGGCAAGGCACCATGACCAGCCGAGGTGCTTGCTGAGGGCAAAAGAGATATGAAACGGGTGATGGAAGAAGGTAGTCATAACTACCAGCTATGAAAAGGTGACCAGCTACAAAACAAGCATTAGATTGTTATGAGCATTTCTTCTTTATTCTCTGTTGACTGAGTTTGAGTGCATGGTGTGTATGTGTGTGAGTGTGTGTGTATGCTCAACTTATATCAAAGTAAAAAAAACGGACTGGTGAAACAGACTCTTGCTGCAAATGTGGGCCTGTTCTTGCTGACTCTCAGCTCACTTTTGGCCATTGGGAACCCAAAGATGCAATAAATTGTTCTCCTCTGCCATGCGGTAGACTCAAGACTTATTAAATGTTGCTACATGTGGGGTCAGCTCTCAGGAGCCTCACAGGCCTGCAGGAGCAACCCTGCAGACACCAGTCCCTTCCTCCTGGCCTTGGATTCGCCCTGGGACCTGGCACTCCTCTTTCTCTTTGGAGGAAAATCAGACTTACCAGCCCTTTCTTTAGCTAGTCACTTGCCTGCATGGCTGTCCCAGGTCAGGAAGGGCCTGGGGGGCCGGAAACCAGGATTTATCCTCAGCTTCTGGCTGTCCTGAGAAGCCCTCCCTGGCAGAGTCCAGCCTGCTGTGTGTCTGGGTGACACTGGCAGCTGTCAGAAAGAAGTGGATAACTCAAAAGTACCAAGCAATTCATCTGGCCCATGTCTCACATGGCATTTCCAGGAACGATGTTCAAAATGCCGCATGGTCACCCTTAAGTTCCTGGTGATGGGGTGGGTTCTCGGGGTGAGCTCAGCGCAGTGTCTGTTCACCACCAAGATGGGAAGCACTTCAGAGTTTTAATCGGTGAGGCTGTGTCCACGCATGTCCATGGATCATCAGTTTGGTGGCATTCCCTGCTGGACCACCCCCCCACCCCCACCCCTCTCATGCCTCATCTTTCAAACCTCCCAACAGGAAAGGCTCACTCCTCCCTGACGTAACCACAGCACAAGACTTTAGAAAAGAACACAGCCATCTCAGGGGCTACACACTTTATGGGCTCAGGCCCAAGTGCCCCTTTAGGACAAGTCAGTAACAACATCACTAAGTGTGTAAACTGGTGGATTGTCCAAAATCATGGACCTCAGAACCGCATGGGTCCAGAAGTCACCCTGGAACAACAAGGAAGAATGTGGGGTCATTCACTGGCCAGAATTATGGTCCCTTATCCTGGCAAACCAGAGCTCACCCACAATCCATCAGGCCCAGCCAGGGAAGAGTGGCCACGATTGAGAGGCTGGGGCCTTCTGGGGAAATTTCTGCCCTAAAAACAATTGTATCAGGAAGTTCAGGGATGCTGGAGATCCTGCTTGACAGGCAGTGGTCATGTTTCTGGAACGAAGCCCAGCTGTAGCCTTAAAGTCGCATCACAAATTTTCCCCGTGGATACAAAACAAGCAGGAAACGGAATTCGGAGTCATGGACGAGGATCCCAGGAGGATTCAAGTCAACGTGAAGGATGAACACGCAGCCCCTACAGGGACACTGAGGATGGGAAGTCGGGCCTCACCCTCTCCACGTGCACGTTTCAATCTATTTACATTTCTTCCACACTGAGAGCTGATGCAGTTGCGGAGATGGACCCAGAAAAACTGCAAGTTCCTAAAATTTGGTCAAAAGAAACCTCAACAAGAGAAGCAGGCAATGTTCCCTATTCCTGCAGAGGGCAGAAGGGCAGCCATGTCCTGGGGCACAAGCTGGTCCTGGCTGGGGCCATTTTTAAAGACACCCAGCTTTCAGTGGTTGTTGCTCTGCCTCCGGAAGCCCCTTCAACCCCTAAATCCCGGGAGATCCGGGGGCTGCGTCTGCTGCTGGCCCAGGTGAAGGACACTGACATGAACCTGTCCTCCGAGGTAGGGGGACTTAGGGCTGTCGTTTGTAGCCAGGGCGAGCTGGCCCTTCTCCCTTCTCCCACATACAATAAGCTGAGGACTCTGCAGCATTACTGGATTCAAGGGGGAATGTGAGATTCTGTCTCATTTACACGAGCACAGGGAGTGAAAGAACCACACCACCACGCCCAGGCTGTGAAACAGACAGGATTGTAATAGACTATTCATGCCGAACGTTTACTATTTACAATCAATGGATATTGTCCCTCCCCAACAGGAAAACAGGTGCTGGGGGAGAGTGAGGGAGCTGGGGTGGGGTCGTCCCCTGTCTCTTGGGCTTCAGGGGACCCCAGGAATCAGCTTACAGTGTCCCCTTCCCCTCAAGTTGGGAGGAGCTGACCCGTTGCAGCCCAAGCACCCCAGCCGAGGCCCCACTGCTGAGGGTGGGGTTGTGACCTGCCAGTGGGACCCGGCTCAGTGTTGGTGGTCTGGCGGCTGAATAGAAGAGTCGGGTTATCTTGGGGGGCCTTCCCCAGAATCATGGCCCACCCCCCCGCCCCGCTACACTCTGTGCTCCAGGCCCTGTGCTCAGTGCTGTCAGCCAACAGCAGCCCGTTTGACCCTGCCACGTGAGCGATCATTTAGCATCACCTATTTCACAGAGGAGTAAACTGAGTCTCAGGAAGCTGAAGGGACTCTCCCCAGTCACAGGACTGATCAGTGGTGGGGCTGGGCTCCCAGCGCCAGCTGTCCAACCCTCTGAGACCATGCTCAGCCTGAAGCTTCTCTGAACCCCTGGGATTCAGTTACCACCAGCCCAGACACTCACTCACCGCTGACTGTGATCATGGCCGCTTCTTCTCGGCCTTGAGTATTCTGCTGGCCGACTAGGACTGGGGCTCCAGCTGGCAGAACAGGCTGTAGCTACAGGACAGAGAGGCACTGTGAGCCGACCAGGAGCCACACGTCAGGTGTCCCCGTACTGCCTGCCAGCAGCTGGAGTCTGGGTGTCCCAGAGGTCGCCACGCAACAAGGCCTCGGGCTGACCAGGGGCCATGGACATGGGCTCTCTGGACTGGCCACCATGGAGAGTCCACCCCTGCCCTCCCCTGACTCCAGCTGGCCTCAGCTCTGATTCCCACTGAGCAGCTCCATGTCCCACAACCAGGCCCCAAATCGCTCCTCGGGCTCTAGCCTGTAATTGTTTGCAGCCACCCGGAGCAGCGGGCTCTCCCTCTTGACTCTGTATTCCTGGGACCAGAGGGAAGGAGAGGACGCAGATGAGGCCTGGGTGGGGGATGCTGCAGGGGCCTTCAAGGGGTGAGGAGTGGGGCAGGGGACCAGGCCTGGGAACTCTCCTTCCCTCCAGTTCCATCCAGGCTCCACCTGTTCTCGGAATGGGACAATCAGCCCCGCCTCCAGGAAGTTTTCCTTGATGCCATCCCCCCTCGACCCACCTGCCAATTGCACAGGTCCCCATCCCCTCTCTGTTATCAAACCCTCCCCGTCCATGTAAGGTGCAGGATGCAGCCGGGGACTCTTCTGCCCTGAGGGTCTCTGATTTCCACTCCCCACCCTGACCGGGAGTGCCCCAGCGGCTCACCTCAGTCCTTTTCTCAAGGTTGATCTCCTTCCCCTGGAAGGCAGACAGCCAAGTCCATCAGACAGAGCCCCTGGCCATGACTAGCCTCTATGCCCCCCGTTTCTCATGCGGTACCACTGCCAGGTCCCCAGAGGGGCCGGGCACACAGAGAAAGCAGGCCTTGGAACTGGGCCAGGCTCTGGGCTCCAGAGAAGGAGGACATGGGGCTGAGGCTGAGGGACCTTGTAGCCCAACCCTCTCAGATGACAGACCTGGAGGCTGCGGCCTCAGGCAGAAGGGACAGCTCAGCCACTCACCTGCTGCCTGACTGGAGGGGCTCAACTTCTCTGTCCCGCCATGGGCCCCGCGGGAGGGAGAGGCTGAGTCCAGCTCACAAACCTCTCACAGCTGTGCCCTCCCTCAGGCGGCTCTGCCGCCTCACCAGCCTGGGGACACAACGGGTGTGTCACACGGACCCTCTGTTCACCCATCCCTGAGATGGGCCTGATGCCCCGGCTCCCAGGGCGGCTCGAGGCTCCCCTGAGAGGAGATGTGCCGGGTGCAGAGAGCTCAGGGCTCAGTTTGGGGCTCCCGTACCCCAAGCCTCAGGATCCGGGTGCCCCTGCCCAGTCCCCACCCTCACTCACCTCCTGATAGTCACCCATCACCAGATGCAGCATCACCAGATCATCAAGGAAAGGCCAAGAAGGGGACAACACCCTGTGACATCCGGGTGGGAGGGGATGAGCCCTTGCTCTCAAGTCCCCCGCAGACCCTCCCCTGAAAAGTCCTCCCCTCGGCGTCCTGGCCCACCCCTGAGCTCCCACGAGGAGCCCCCGAGGACACTTAGCAGCCTCCCCTCAACTCCCTCCCTTCACACCCCAAGAACCCCGCACTCCTCCTATCACCTCCCAGGGCCAGATTCCCACAAGTGACAGGGAACGTGGTCCCTGGCCCTCCCCACCGCAAATCCATCCTGCACCAGCTCTCCAGGCCCTCCTCCTGTCACCTCTACTAGGACTCAGGCACTGTGGCTCCAGGAGGCAGGGCTGTAGGAGCCAGGGCCCTGCTCTCTGAGTCTGAGGCCTCCGGCTGGGTGGGCAGAGCTCCTTCCCCAGGTACCCTCACCTGCTGTTCTGGACTCTCTGTGGTGTATGGCAGGGTGGCAAACGTGGAGGGCCCCTCCTGCCAGGATGGAGGACAAGTCAGTGAGGCCATGCTCCCCTCCCCCCACTTCTCCCCAGCACCACCGGCCTTTGACCCTGGACATCTGACCCCAGCCAACTGCCACCAAGGCTACTCCAACCTCCAGTGTGCTAGGATTCTAGAACAAGCCCAGCTCCAACTGTCACTCTGAGTGTGGCCTGGCCTGGCCTCCCTGAGCCTGTTTCCTCGTCTGGAAAGGGTGAGTCCTCCCCTCCCTCACAGGGTCTCTGAGGACTCCTGCCATGACCGTCATCACTGCCCTCCCCTCACCCCTCCAGGGGGAGCAGGGCAGAAAGCTCCGCATGCTCCTCTCCCCGCTTTTAGCCCATCACCCCCCTTGAGGCCTGCGCCACAGGACCATCATGCCTGCATCTCCCCGATGAGGAGACAGAGGCCCAACAGGGGCAGCGAGCTGCTCAGGGCCACAGAGGAGAGGCCACTTGCCCCTCCCAGCCAGAGGCCCTGTTCTCATGTGCTCACCTAACACCCATCCCCACCCCTGACCGGAGCCCTGTGCCCTCAGTTCTCAGGTGTGTCCTTGGCCGAGACGTGGATGGAGAGGGCGGGGTGTCCTGGGAGCCTGGGTGAGTGGCTCCTGCCCGGCCCAGGCCCTGGAGAGTCTGGCCCCCAGGCTGGAACGGAGGCCACGCCAAAGCCTTCGCTTCCCTAAGGAGCCCCTCAGGACATTCCCCTGAACAGAACTCTTTCTTCATCCACTCAGGACGTGGACCCCAAGGTGCCACCTCTGATCAACAGGGAAGGGGGTGACAGGACACTTTGCTGCCTCGCTTACATGAAGCTTCCAACGTCTGCTCAGGAAGCATCCACTAAGAATCCTTCAGGTGGCCAGACACTTCTCCTCAGCCAGCTGGGACATACGTCATTGCCAGCTGGGCACTCAGGTGAGACTCCTGTGACTGAGTAGCAGGGACTGTTCTAGGGGCCCAGTGGGGAGTCCCAGAATGCACCCGGATCTGACTCTGCTCCAGACATTCAGCCTCCAGACTGAGCAGCCTGTTTGTCCACCTGGCCTGTGGGAATGCCTGCCATGCCCATCCCTGGGGCGGGCGGGCTGCACCCCCCTTGGAGACGTGGTGAAGACAGCAGGAGCAGCGGGAGCTTGGCTTCCTGAGGACACTCTGGGCTGGTGGAGGGAAGATAGGAACCCTCACCCACCTCACCCACCCCACAGCCTGCAAGAAGCTAAGTCTGGCAGGATGGACCTGCACAGAAGCCAGAGACCTGCTCATTGTGCCAGCTCGGCAGCCCCTCCTGGACCAGCCCAGCCAGCACCACCACGTCCCGTGACCAGGGCCCCCTGCCCACAGGCTGCAGCCTGTCTGCCCGTGGACCAAAGAGATCCCTCCTCTTGCTAATCTGGACAAGACACACTGGGATTTTTCAGAGAAAGTTTAAGTGAGAAACTATCAAACCACACCCTGCCCTGTCCCCCTCCCACACACACTCCTCTCTTTCCAGACTTCCCGCCTCCACTCGACCTTGGTCATCAGTTTTCTGCTCAGAGACTTGTCTTTGCTGCATAGGCTGTTAAATTTTCAGAGCTCTCCCTGAGGGGAGGGGAAAGAAGGAAGGAGACATGGAGGACTAATGCCTGTGGGGGCTTGAGTGCAAACCCCTTTTATTTGAGACCCCACAGGATGCAAACAGCCTGCACGAGTGCTCTCACTGGGCTCCTCTGAGCACTCAGGTCTCCGTGGGACTGGGGACGGGGCTCTCCTGTGGTCACCTGGGGCCTCCGTTCCCGTTGCTATGGAGCAGCTCTGTTGTGACCAGGGTGAGCTTCAACTGTTGCTATCAAGTCAGCACTTGAAAATCTCCGATTTCGCTCAGCCCAGCACCTGCCATTCAAGGAAACTGATTCCTGAAGCAGAACTGGTGCACTCAGGACCCCAGGAGGCTTAGGGAGCCCCCCTCCTGCCCAGGCCCTGTCCCCAGGGTTTGCCACCTCCCAGGCGTTCCCAGGTGACTGAGGGGCAATGGCAGACATACGGGAGGTCCCTCCTCTACCAGGTCTCGTGTGCAGAGGCCCACCGACCAGGAAACTCCCCCACGTTTTCTCCAGATGGTCTAAGGAGATATTCTGCAGAGCAGAGACAACAGCGTGTTGTGAGAAGTTCGTTAGGATGTCGCACTCCTGGGAAGGGAAAAGAATGAGCTGTCGGTGGGGCACTGGGGCCTCGCTTGCTCTGGCTTCAGTCCCCTTCAATTTAAATCTCCCGTCCTGGAAAAGACAGGTGCTCAGGGAGCCCTGCAAGGGCACATTTAGGACCCAAAGAGGAACACTCACAGAGAGCAGGATTTTAGCTCCACCCAAGGAAGGAGCCAGGTAGGAAGTGCGCATCCTACTGCTGGGACCTGGACTCCAGGTCTGCATGTCCCTGGCAGGAAGGGCCTAGGGACTGAGCAGGACCTTAGACCACACACTTCAATCCTGAGACCTGATAAAGGAGCAGCAGCAGCTCCCAAGGCCTCAGAGAGGGAGCGCACTGGCCTCCCACAGCATCCCTGGGCCACCTGAATCCAGAGCTCCATGACTTTAACCCTGTCCCAGGCCATCATACTTGGGTTCCCCAGGCAGGTGGTGATAACACAGTTGACCACACTTTGAAGTGGTTGGTAGACCCCCAGACGGTGCTCGTTCCCATGCTTGTTTCTCTTGCCCCAAGTGGACTCAGGCACTGAGAGGGCACCAACTTCCTGAAGAGCTATTGGGACACGGGGAGTGTCACTTGGCCCTGCCACACCCCAGCTCTGTGTCTGCAGCCCCTAAAATCCCAGGCAGGGCTCACAGTTTAGAGGTGGAGCTGAGGAAGCTGAGGATGTGGCCTGAGCCTCGTGGGAGCCCCTGGGTTGTATTCTCTGTCCACTGAGGACACCCAGCACAGGATGACCCAGGACGCTGCCCCACCCAATGGCTCAGGCCCCACCCGGCTTCCCATCTCTTCTTCCCCATTTACTGGGCACAGCCACCCTGTGCAGCAGGTCCTGTTAGTGTCCTCTTCTACTGTCCACAGGTGGACAGCAAAGGCGTGGGCCTTCAGGAAGTTGCCCAGGTCATTTGGTAGGGAAGGGGTGGAGCCGGGATGTGGACCCAGATCATAGGAGTCCAGATCAGGTCTGGGGCAGCTGATGGCAGGGGGAAGGCCTGCCCCACCCTGCCCTGAGAGCCCACCTGCTCCCCGCGTCCACGATCGTTAGCTGTTCTGCGACCTGCTTAGGAGGGAAGGCCGGGAGGTTAGGCTTCTCCTCGCTCAGGGGGTTCTTACCCGCCACAGGCCTGGGGCAGGAAGGCTCTGGGTTTCGAGCCGCTGTATTTTTGGAGCTGGTGATGGAATTCCCATTAGACCTGGTGGTCCAGGTGACTCCAGCTCAGGAGCTGCCACTCCCGCTGGAGCTGATGCTGGTCCTTGCTCCAGCTCCAACACTGCTGATGGCGGTGATACTGACTCCGGCGCTACAGGTGGTGGTATCAATGGAGCTGGAGCTGGAGCTGGCTCTACCTCCGCAACTGGCCACTGTTGTGGTTCTGCAGCTGGCTGGAGACCTGGAGCTGGCACTGGAGCAGGATAAAGAGAAGGGTTCACCCACATGACTGACTTTCCATTGCCTTACCCCAAACAGGAAAGATCCCACTGCCCTTACAGGAATACCCAGCCCATGAACCCGCCCCAGATAGTCTTCACAGCCTGCAGCCCCCCTTACCCTCTGGCTCTGCCTCAGTGGCCTCTAGAAGCTCCAACTAGACCAGGATCACAGGGTCACAGCAATTCAGGACAGAGCTAGGTAAGGTAACCTGCACGTACAGCCCCTTTACCTTGAAAAAGGGACAGTGCAGGGGCCGCATGGAAGTCTGAGAGTTCTGTTCTGGCCAGGTGCCCAGCATGAGAGAGAGGACAGTGGGGAGAGTCGTGTGAAGTGGAGTCTGAAGCCTGGCCTTTCCTTCCACACCGTGCTCCCACAGCTCCCTTATCTGGGTCGAGGACCCACAGGATGGCCCAGCCCACACCCAACCCCCTGTGGCTGTCCGTGCAGTGGAAGGCCTGGTCATCGACCAGGTCTAACAGAGAGCCTGTGGGAGTCTCATCTGCCCACTGACACTCTTCTCCCAGGGCCTGGCCAGAGCCGATCCCATCCCCCATGCACATGAGCATCAGGACTTAGGTTGGAGGCAGATTGGTGAGCAGGCGGCTCGCCACACCTACTATCTGGGGCCCCGGTGGTGGTGGTTAGGACAAGTGGATGTGGAGAGGGCACAGGGTGACATGGGACTGTGGAAAGGATGGGTCTCTCAAGGCCCACTCAGTCCCCTCCCCTCTGCTTCTCAGGGAGGCTGCGACCCCACCCACAGGTCTCTTTGACTCATGTCCTCATGAAGGGCAAGGCCCCAGACCTCAGCCCTCTCATGGGAATCAAACCTGTGCGAGATCCAGAGTTCTGCCAGTCAGTCCTTCCCCAGCCACAGCCCCCAGAGACTCCCAGGCTCTTCTGTGGAGACAGGAGGCCTGCCTTCTGCACCCAAAGACCACTCACGTTCTTAGATGGAGCTCCTGTTGGTCACCCTGGATGGAATACGGCAAGATGCATCCATATCTACAAGAGGCCATGGGGGTGTGACATCCAATATGCTGTGAACATGACTGCTTATGATGTCTAGAGTGACTGTCCCACTCTAAGACAGGATCTCACGCCCAAGGATTGAGTCTGCTCCATTTACTGAATGACCTTATTGGCCAGGAAAGTGCCTGCACGGAGTAGGTATTTAACAGAGATTGTTGAAGAATGAACTCAACCGGAACCTCCCCAGGTGTCGACATGGCTCCAGGCCTCCTCTGCCCGCCCCTGGAAATCCCTAATTTGGCTACCCCAAGGACAAGGACCAGGACCAGCTGGATGGAATCTCAAAAGTTCTTTACAAATGGGAAAAGAGGTTGCTTTCCATGAGGCTTTCCAAACTCAGGAAAGCCACGGGACAGTTCGGAGTGAGGCAGAGAGCTTCTCCATGGGAGAGAGAGAATTAATAAAGATGAAAATGTCCAGCATGTCCAGCAGTCCTTTCTGCAGAGCCAGGCGCCAGGGAAGTACCTGCCACAGCTTATCCCATGATTTCCTCCAGTAACCGCACGAGGTTCATCTTCTGACCACTCCACTTTCGGAAGAGCAAAGTGAAGCTCAGAGAGGTGTGTTGACATTCTCCAGACACACAGGTAGCAGGTGGGAGACCCAGAGCTGCGCTGAGGAGGAAGCAGCTCTCACCTGTGGGACAGCTGGCCCAACACCTGCTGGGTGGTGTCGAAGGTGTGGTGGGGGCAGGGCGAGGTGGCAACGTAGCTGTTTCCCCCTGGGGAGGCTGGTGCCAGGGATTCTGTCGCCTTCTCCATTGTGCCTGCCTTGGGGTCAGCATGATCAGGCCCGATGGAGGGACAGGGTTGAGTCCTTTTCACACCGAGTGGACAAAGAGAGACACACCGCGGCATCACCAGGAGCCCCCAGGAGGATCAGGGTCTGGAGCTCAGCCCAGAAACTCCCGTCACCTCAGGAACTCACGCAAGAGGAGGAACATGTGTGCCCACACAGGAAAACGTTCTAGGCTTTAAAAGTCTGATTTGGGGAGAAATAATAAACAGCTGGCACCTTCAAGATGTTCTGTCAGCTGGGAAACAATAACACCTCCCTGTATCAATAGCCTGTGTTAAGAGTGTTGTCCCCGCGAGTCGTCAACAAACTTCCCCGCTGTAGATACTGGGAAAGAGAGGGGTAGGGATTCCAGGCGGCTGCTCAAGATCACGAGGTCAGAAGTGGAACAGGACACAGCATGGGCTGCGTGACATCCCTCCAAACAGCCTGAGGCTTGGTCTGCTCCTGACATGGAGGGGAAGGCTCTGTGGAAAGCACATTCCTGGGAGGGCCCCAGGGCAGTTGCCAGATTCCAGGCTGGGTCTGGGTCTACCTTGTCATCTTGGGGTCCTGAGTGTGGAGACCCCTCTGTGCCCACACTTACCGCAGACCAGCAAGGCTGTTGTTGGCCTGAGGCACCTGCCCCTCGTCTAGGGAGATGGAGAGTTTGAACCCCTCCACGAGCTCCTCACAGAGGTCCCGGGTGGAGCGCTAGAAAGACAGAGCCCGGTCCGGGGCCAGTCTGCCTCAGGGGCCTTCCACCCAGTCTATGGCCCCAAGTTATGGCAGACCCAGCACACTAACACAGCCTGTGAGGACACACTTAACGTGTTCCCTGCGCACTGCTGAAATGGCAACAGAATTGAATCCTGTCAAGGTCCAGCAACATCTAGAGGCTGAAGGGCTGTGGCAAATGACCTCCTTTATGGGATACTATGAAGATGAGTAAGGCCACAGCTCCTGGCCTGGTGGGCCTACAATGACTCGATGGGTTCTGCGAGATGACAAGTTGCAGAGAAACGTACACAACACCTTACTCCCACCCCATTTTCGTACAAACCGCCCTATCAGGTGTGATGATTTGTAAGCTTCTGGGAAGGGCTGCCCGGACAGTGGAGCCGACTGCTCCACGGGATTCCCGGGCGGGAGTTAAAAGAAAATAGCAGCCAAATGCAAAGACAACATAAAATTTTTCTCTGCTATTCCAACAAATGTGCGAAGAGTGTATTTCTACTCTATTACGTAGCAGGTGAGCTCTGTGTGGAGGGCCAGATTTCTCTGGGATCAGGCCTGTGGGATGCTCACGTGGGAAAGCCCTGGCCGGGCCTCAGGGAGTCCCCAGATTTGAGTCTGGGTGCTGGTCCCACCCAGTCATCTCGAGGTCCTGAATGTGGAGACCCTGTGCTGCTCTCTCACCTCGGACCAGCGCTGGATGGTGAATGTGGCCTCCTGCTCCTGCCCCTTGTCTACAGAGTTGGAGCGGTTAAACCCACCCGCCAGCTCCTCGAGGCTCTCCTGAGTGGAGTTCTGCAAAGACAGTGCCCGAGAGCCAGGCCAGGAGGAATCAGGGGCTGCCTGCACACTGCCACTGGGACCAGCTCCCAAGGGGAAGTCTGTTCCTCAGTTCAGGCACAGAGATCTCCAGTCAGGAGGGAAGGAGATGACACCTCTAGGGCTCGGTAACTAGGAGTGGAGGAGCTCACCTTCTCATGCTGCCAGCCACGACCTGGGGTCTGAGCACGACAGGCCCAACAGGCTTCCCACCCTAACAACCAGCTCCTGCCCAGGAAAGATCCACCCCTCATCCCTGCCTTCCTCCTTCCACACTCTCACACACACACAAGCACACACGCACACACGCACACGATCAGGGCGAGGGGTGTGGGGCTGCTCAGGTGGGATCACAGCTGCATGCTGGTCTGCATGGCCTGCCCTGGGCTGCCCCGTGTTACCTTTGGGTGCCTCCTGCCAAATGGCCAGATGTGTTGGGGATGACGGGTAAGCTAACATCTACAACGACAAAAACGATTCTCTTTCTGGGCCTTTCTGAGCCCAGAATCCCTGAAAGTTGGGACCCAACCACAAAACGTCCTTGTCTGTTGAGCACTCCAGTCAAGTGAGCTGGATAGGGGGCTGTGGGTGCCTGATTGGTAGCAGAGTCCTAAGTTCTGTTGAGCTCCACGACCAAGGAAGTGAGGTCACTTTTTCAAGAGTCATTACCAGGGCCACTTTGTGCAATCACTCTCCCAAGCCCCCCTGAACAGCTATTGCTCACCCTCGTCCCCCACGTCATCTCCTGAAGGGTACACAGTGAGCCAGCACAGCCCTAGCCACGGCTCCCTGGAAACCTAACTACGGTCGTAGCTTTTTCTTACCAGTTCTGCGTCCTGGGGAAGTCACTGTGCCTCTCAGGTCCTCTCCAGTCTCCAAACCTGCACAATGGGGATCAGGCTACAATCTACTTCTTAGGGACATCATCAGGTAGATATGAGATAATATCCATAACCTCTGTGGGCTGGTGTCACATGTATCTAAGGCACAAACTTAGAGATGGAAGAATTAGGAGAAGGGGTGAGATGTAGCATGGAGCACCACTCAAAGCAGGCCTGGGTTCCAGCACTGTGACGTTGGAGAACCCAGCACTGTGACGTTGGAGAACCCAGCACTGTGACGTTGGAGAACCCAGCACTGTGACGTTGGAGAACCCAGCACTGTGACGTTGGAGAACCCAGCACTGTGATGTTGGAGAACCCAGCACTGTGACGTTGCAGCAGTCGCTTCCAACTTGGCCGCATTTTCAGGTCAGCGTCATGAGGGGGGGTGAAATGAATGGAAATTCAGGTATTGTCATCCTGTGGCATAAAACCATTCAATTGTTTTGTGTTATATTTAAAATGAGACCCAAGGGCCTCATCTTGGCCTATGGGGTGGACAACCTCCACAGTGGTACCCAGTAAATCTCACCCATGGGATACACCTCCCTGTGGATCCACTCAGTGGTTAGTAACTGTCTTCTGACCAATAGCATACAGCCAATGTGATGGGGTGTCTTGTCTGAATTTTAATTACACAAAGTCTCTTGCTTTCCTCTTCCTCCCTCTCTTGGTTCCATCTTTCTCTCTCTCTCTCTCAGTCTATTGTATCCCTGGAACTGGGGAATCGAGCACTGGTGTTTTGGACTGCCCAGTGTGCCCTAACGTGGCCCTTAGAGGAGAGAAGCAAGGGGGTGCCCAGGCCACCAGACAGAAGGGAACTCAGGCTCTCAGTCCAAACCGAGTCCTGAAAGCTGAGAGTGCACTTGGAGCCAATCCTCTCCCAGTCGAGCGTCAGTTGAGGCCACAGCCCCAAACTGTTAAACACATTGAGGCAGAGGAACCCAGCAAAAACGTGCCTGATTGCTGATCCACACAAATGGTGAGATGGTAAACATTTGTCGTTTTCAAATGCAAGGTTTAGGGGCAACGTAGTCAGAGAGGAAAAGGTAACTAACAGCCTCCCAGGCCCTGGCCCTACCTTCCACCCCATCTCCTGTTCTCCTCCCCAGTGCCCTCTGGCCACAGCGCCACCTTTCTAACCTCCTCTGGCCAAACCTACTTCTGTCAGCAAGACTGCACCAGTGGTGCCTTCTCCCTGACACACTGCTCCAGACTCGTGCAGGGCTGGCTCCCTCTTGTCATTGTGGTCACAGCAAATGTCACTCCAGTGAGGCCTTCAGACCCTCCTGCCCAGTTGACCCCCAGCCCTCCCTCACAGCCCCCTGCTGTGTTCTCCACAGCACCTGCCCTTTTCTTTCTCAGGTCTTTGCTGTTGTCCATCTCTCCTCCAGACTGTGAGCTCCCCGCAGGCGGGGACCACTCGGTCATTTTCAGCCCGCATGGGGGCCACCCGGGTGCCTGGCACAGGGGGAGTGCTCAGCACACAGCTGCTGAATGAAGCAATGGGAAGACCTTGCACCTTCCTCCTGCTTCTGACTCACTTTGACTGTGGAGATGAGGGCTAGTAATTGGAGGGGCTAGTTGTTTCTGAGGCGGGGCAGCCAGAAAGACCACTGCATGACTCTTCGCTCCTCCAGGAGCCCAAGCAACGCTAGTGGCCACCATGTAAATTGTAGGTGCTCGGCATAAAGACTTGATCTACATATACTACGTGTTGATTACCACAATAAGTTTAGTCAACATCCACACCAAAATAAAAAAAATTTTTTCCCTTGTGATGAGAAGTTTCAGGACCTACTTTCTTAGCAACTTTCAAATATATCACACAGCAATGTTAACTTATACAGTGCTGTATATCAATTATATCTCAATACAATCGAAAAGAACAAAAACTCAGTGGCCATCACTGACACTGGAAGCCTCTGCCCCCTGGTGGCCAGCACTAGCACTGCAGCCCAGGCAGGAACTCCCCCAAGCAGAAAGGCTGCTTTCTTTGGGTGTCCTCAAGGCAGAGGGTCTCCAGTGTCCCGGGGTAGAAGAGCAGGACCTGCAGGCTTCCAGGGAGTGGGGGGAATCTCAGGAGTCTGCCTTTCCCCTCGTCTTTCTGTCCCCCACCAGGGTGTCCTCTGCACTCATGAGGCACCCAACCTCAGCCAAGACAATGATGCCTCCCTACTTTGTAATGAGGACCCCGAGGATCCACCAAGGACTAGTCTTCTCCCTGGAATCTGGACTTGGTGTCCGGTGCTCTGGCTTCTTCCTTATCCCAAGTCTCATCCACCCAAGCCCCCAGGGCTACTCGGTTCTAAGGGATCTCCAGGGAGTGGAAAGCGTTTTCTCAGGCTCTCAGAGCAGTGGGTCATCGACGGAGAAGCCAGCCCAACAGACACGCTGTGAGCCATGGAACCCTTGGAGTCACCCGCCGGGTGCTCTCCACTTTATACAGGAGGACACTCACTGAGGGCTTCTCTCCTGCACCCAAGGTCTGCAAAGGGGATGATGGCCTCATCACACTTCCAGGTGCTCACAGAGGTGGACTGCAGGACCCCAGTCCTGTCCTTTCCAGGCTGGGCCAGGGACGGCTCTGGAATCTGTAGAGACCTGGGAACCTTGGGGATCCCTCTGCCCATCTCTGTGCCCCCAGGCACGTATCTAGGAGAATGGACGCTACTGCCCTGTGGGAGAGCTGCCTCCAATCTCTCTCTCTCCTGCCTTGCCACTTCCCTGGTCTCTGCTCTTTTTTGACTGCACCTCCTGGTCCCCACATAAGGTCAGCGTGAGTGGGTGTGCCTGTGCACATGCGAAAATGCAGAAAGGACAATGGCCCCGAATAGAGAGGGGGTGGGCGGGAATCCTCTAGGATCTTAAGGCCTCTCATTTCCAAAAGAAACCTGAAGGGAAGAGGCTGAGCCTTGGCCAAGGAAGCCGGAGCTCTCTCTAATCTTCTGGACACTGACCACCTCCCAACTGTACAGTGTGGGGTAAGATGTGCAAGCATAAGCACATGCTCAGCCAGGACAGGTCATCAGGCTCCACCGATACTGGATGGGGTGTCACATGGGCTGATGTTCGGGTAGCAGACACACAGAACGCTCTCTACTACAGGGGAACAGTGGGGGACAACCTGCCAGTCAACCAGGCCTCGTGTCCAAGACTTGCAGACAAAAGGGGCCCTGTGACAGCCCGAGGACAGCTCGTACATGTGAGCCCAGCCTTGCCATGCACGCATGGACAACACACCCATGGCTCTGCCCCTGAGGCAGGTCTTGGTGCCCTGCCCCCACCTCACCGCCTGCACCTCCATCTGTTCCCAGTGGAAGAGAACCTAGATGTCATCCGGGCAAAAGCACCAGATATCACAATCAGGCCATCTGCCTTCACACCTGCTCTGCCGCTATGCACAAGGGGATATGTCCCAGAGAAGGGTCCTATCTCGTCGAAGGTCACACAGGGATTCCATGGCAAAACATCAACATTGGTTAGGATTAGATTTGGCTATGTAGTCTAGAAAACACTAAATAACTGGCACGAACAGGAGAGAGTTGTTTCTTTCTCATATAAAAAAACCCCTAGAGGCTGGCAGTACAAATTAATCCCAGAATTCCCACCATTGCAGTTCACAGATCATCTGTCTTTCTGCTCCAGAATTTTCCTATGTGGTTTCCATCTTCGAGGCTGTCCACGGTCCAGGATGGCTGCTGGAGCTCTGACCTTGACCAGCAACGCTGTCTGCATTCCAGACTGTGGGCAGGAGAACAGGAGGGCAGAGCGGGTCCTCCCGGCTAGGTCAGTTCCCTCTGAGCAGCCTCCCCACAGTGCCACAGCAGACTTCTGGTCACACACACTGGCCTGAACTTCCTCTGGTCACTCTTAGCTGCAAGAGAGGTCAGGAATTTTATCTTGTAGTTTGTTCGACTGCTGCCTGAAGGAAAGCGGGTTCTCTATTCTAAAGGGGAAGGGAGAGGGAAACAGTGGAAACGACCAGTGCTCCCTCCTACATTAACCTTCTAGCTGAAGAGGAGGAGATAATGTCACTGCCACGCAAACTGGGCATCCGGGCATCTACCACGGCCTCTCTTTCAGGTTGTTCATTCATTCACACAGAGAACAGCAAGCCTTGCTTCCAAACTGGCAAAGGCCCATCAGAAGCACTGTGTGCTTCCACCTGCCTGGGTCTTGGAAGCAGATCTGAGCACACCCTTTCTGTTTCACAAACGGAGCGGGACTGCAGAGCCTCTGAGGAAACAGCATGTGCCTTAAGAGCCGAGTCAAAATGGAATCTCTGCAAATCAAAGAAGTCCCCCCAGTAAACTCCCCAAAGACTTAGAGCCTACATGGTAAATATTAGTAGTTAAATTAATGCACACAAAATAAAACTGCTAATGGTTAAAATGGCACCTGGTAAAATCTATCACTGACTAAACATCCAGGAAACAAGAAATACATCTGATCACACTTTGAAATGAATAATGAGATTCAGGAAAACTGACTTGGTAGAATGATGACACCTAAACAAAACCTAAAATAGAAGAATCTGTACTCACTATGTTATGATGTGGATAAAAAAAGCCCAGCCATTTGCAGGAAAAATAACTGATTCTGATAAAAAATAATTCCAGTGAATTAAAAACGGATACACCAGAATTGTTTTACTGGACTATGTTTTAAAGAAATCGATCAAGGAATTCGTAATACTGTACTGCATATTTGAAAATTGGTAACAGAGTCAATCTTAAAAGTTCTCATCACAAGAAAGAAAATTTGTAACTGTATGATGATAGATGTTAATTAGACTTTTTGTGGTGATCATTTTGCAAGATATACAAATATCAAAGCATTATGTCATACATCTGAAACTGATACAAAAAATAAATTCAAATTTTTAAAAAGTTTGCTCTGAAAAATGCATTTCAAGACAAATTTTTACATGTTTTGTCTAAGTCTGATTTCAAGGTTTTATTAGGCACAGAATCAAAACATTTGCTCTGATCAAAGTTGTCTCAGGTAAAACTGCTGGGACAGAATATCAGGGTCAAAATGAAAGAGTACAAATGGCAAGACTAAGGTGTCCTCTGCTCATTTCTTTGGATTTTCCCATTTTTACTAAAATACAGGTTTTGCTTTGTTTAAAGTACACTTTTTTTTTTTTTTATTGGTGAGGAAGATTGGCCCTAAGCTAACATCTGTTGCCAATCTTCCTCCTTTTTTTTTTCTTTTCTCCCCAAAGCCCCAGTACATAGTTGTGTATCCCAGTTGTAGGTCATTCTAGTTCTTCTATGTGGGATGCTGCCACAGCATGGCTTGATGGGCGGTGTGTAGGTCTGTGTTCAGGATCTGAATTGGCGAACCCCAGGCCACCGAAGCAGAGCGCACGAACTTAACCACTCAACCACAGGGCCAGCCCCTAAAATATATCTTTATTGAAGTAAAATACCTATAATACCCATAAAATTTACCATCTTAACCATTTTTCTGTGTACATATCATTAAGAACGTTAAGTACATTTTAAGTGTATTAAACACAGTAATATTGCTGTGCAACCATCACCACAATCCATCTTCAGAACCCTCTTCATCTCGCAAAACTGAAACTCTATACCCATTCATCAGCAACCTCCCATTCCTCCCACCTCCAAACCCCTGGCAAACACCATTCTACTTACTGTCTCTCTGAATGTGGCCATTTCAGGTACCTCTTATAAGGGAAATCACACAAGATTGTATTTTTGCAGCTAATTTTATTTAGCATAATATTCTGAAAGTTCATCCATGGTGTACCATATCTCGAGTGTCCTTACTTTTTAAGGATGAATAATATGCCATTGCATGGACATACCACATTTGGCTCATCTATTCATCCCTGGACAGACACTTGGGGTGCTTCCATGTTTAAGCTATTATGAGTAATGATGCTATGAACACGGGTGTGCAGATATGAGTTCGAGAATGTGCTTTCAATTCTTTTGGGGGTATATATCCAGAAGTGGAGTTGCTGGGTCCTACGGTAATAGAATTACCGTATACCGTATAGGAAATGCTATACTGATTTCCACAGCAACTACACCATTTTACATTCCCACCACAGTGCACAAGAGTTCCAATTTCTCCACATCTATGCCAACACTTCTTTTCTTCTTCTCTTTTTGATATACGCCATCCTAATGAATGTCAGGTGCATTTTTGACTTGCATTTCCCTAATGATTAGTGATGTTGAGCATCTTTTCATAGGCTTATTGGTCATTCGCATTATCTTCTTTGAGGAAATGTCTATTCAAGTACTTTGTTCATTTACAATTTGGGTTGTTTTTTTGTTGTTTGAGGTTAGGAGTTGTCTGTCTATTCTGGATATTAAGCCCTTGTCAGACACATGGTTTGCAAATACGGGCTCCCATCATGTGGGTTGTTTTTACTGTTGATAATGTCTTTTGAGGCACAAAAGTTTTAATATTCATGAAGTCCAGTGTACATACTTTTTAATTTTATTGCCTGCGCCTTGGGTATCATACCCATGAAATCATTGCCAAATCCAATTTTGTAAAGTTTTGTCCTGCGTTTTCTTCTAAGGGTATTATAGTTTTACCTCTTGCATTTAGGTCTTTGATCGATGGGGAATTTAGTTTTACATATGGTGTCAGGTAAGGGTCAGAGTTCATTCTTTTGCATGTAGACAACCACTTTTCCAGAACAACTTGTTGAAAAGACTGTCTTTTCCTCACTGAATAATCTTTGCATCCTTGTCAAACATCATTTGATCACACAGGGGAGGGTTTATTTCTGGGTTCTCAATTCTGTTTCATTGGTCTATATGTCTGTCTTTATGTTATTACAATGCTGTTTTGATATTGTAGATTTGTAGCAAGCTTTAAATCAGGAAGAATGAGTCCTCCAACTTAGTACTTCCTTTCAGGATTCTTTTGGGTATCTGGTCTTACTTGAGATTCCATAAGAATTTTAGGATGGTCTTTTCTATTTCAGCACAAACTGTCATTGGGATTTTGATAAGGACTGCACTGCACCTGTTGATCTCTTTGGATAATGTTGACACCTTCACAATAAGGAGTCTTCTAATCCATGGTGATGGGATGTCTTTCATTTCTAGAAGTGCCGGCTGGTTGTTCAGATTGAGGGGGCGGCACTCTTCCATGCAGTCATGCAGAAACCTACCATTCCTCCACACGCTGCCTTCACCATTTCCTCAGAACTCATCGATAGTCAACAGAGGGGAATGCATGTAAAACGCATGTGGGAAGTTTTCAAGGACTGGGTGTGGATGGAGCACACGTTTCTTCCACTCATCTCCACTGACAAGAACAACAGACTGAACCAGCAAATCCTACCACATGGGGACTGTGGACTAACCAAGGGCCAGGGACTCAGGCTCCTGGTAGAACCATGTACCAGCTCAAGCTGACCTGCTAAGCCTGCGGAGTAACCAAGAGCTAAGACTCATGCTCTGTTACAGCATCCTGTGAGTCTAGACTGACCACTTAACCCTGGTCTGGAAAACCACTTAGATCGGGAGCTCAACACAAACACAGTGGATCTTGTATTCAAGAGGAACAACCCACAGTTTTTGGAAACAGCAAAAACGAAGGAGAACTCAAAGGTCTTATGGGTACCAATGCCTTGTTTCTCATCCCCGAAGCCATTGGAAGTCTCCTTCGGATCCCACTGTTGCCACCAAACTGTTACAAACCAAAATTCAACAGCGTAGATTTGAAATATCATATTGGCTTTATTCAACAATTCATGAATCGGGCAGCATCCAATCTAGCAGAGAGAAAGGAGCTCCAAGGAGCTGTACAAATGAAAGACTTTTATAGGCAGAAGGGAGCAGGAGCAAGGAAGTTACACTGGACAAGAAAGCAGGTTGGTTATTGCAAGGTTACCTTCCTTTAGGGGATGGCAGGGCTCTCTCAGGCAGATGACATACCCAGTGCTCGTCAGGCAATTCCCCATGGACTGGTGTAAGATTCCACTCCTGGGAGGGCCGAAAGTGTAATTAAGTCTCGGTTTGTTGATGTGGGGCTTAGCCTAAGTGGCTCCCTTTGGGCCTGCTGTCTCTTGTTTTTAACACACGACTTTTGCTTGTCCTCTGCCTTCCCCAGTTACACCCGGGTCTCCCTTCACTGACCATTGCTGGTCGCACATTCACTGTACCTGGCTCCAGTCCTTCCCTTCAACACCGTAATCCCACAACACAATGCTCCCGACACTACCATGACTTCCTCCCCACACCTCCCCTCTACTTTCCACAGTGCCAGCAAGACACTTCACCAACACCAGCACCGTTTATGTCCAGTGGGCTGAAGGGGCTGCCTGTGCAGTGGGACTCAGAAGTCACAGGGCCTGTCACTTGGCCCTCAATCACCTGCTCCCCAGCTTAAGTGCTCACCTATAGCCAACTCTATTGAACATCATCATCTTTGCCCCAAGCTTCCTTCAAACGCTCCACCCATTTCTGCCCCAAGTGCCCCTTGAGGGGTCTTCTCGGGGTAGCCTTCGAGGCCACCTGGGTGATTTTGTGCCCAGGCACAAACAGGTGTTGGCCCACATACCCTTTAATCATACCCCCTGAAATCATACAGCACAGGTAGCCAGTGAATGGGCACAAATTACTGGTCTTACCTCCAAGATCCCTAATGGCTATTTTACACCAACTTTTGGCGTTTACCGTGGGCGGATATCACAAGGCTCTCCCCTAGTGCGCTCCTCTCTTCCCCAGCCCTCCAACCAGCTTTCCCCAGGCTACACTCTGCAATGCATCATTGTCTCTCTCAGCCTGCTTCTAGACGTGCACCCCTCAGGTCGCAGGTGCCCTGAGTTTCCTGTCCTGACTGGCTACCACCAACCCAGAGACATTGTCAGTCCTATAGTACTGGGTACTTCAGTTCTACCAGGATTCAGTGGACTGGGCACAGGTACAGAGGCCCTACCCACACAAAATCAGGTAACTGAGGCCAACCAAGAAGTACTGACAATCTCAACCCGACATGGACAACAACTCCGTAAGACCCCATCCTGGCCCTTGTGAAACAGTCTCTTGAGTCTCCTGTCTAAATGGTTTTAGAAAACTGCGTGGCCCTAGACTATCTATACTGGCCAACGAAGGAGGGGTCTGTTCCCTCCCAGGGACCACTAGCCGCATGTACATTGACAACTCACAAATTCAAACCTACCTCCACCAGATGGCCCAAGAGGTTAAAATACTGCATAACATTTCCCAAATCTTTGAACAGATTCCCAGGGTCCCCAAGATCACTGATGTATTTTCATGGCTGGCTGGTCTCTTCAAGTTGGGGACAATGACTATGGACTGGATTTCACACTGTTGCTGGTATAATTACAGGATTTGCTACTATAGCCCTAATCAGATGTTCACTCTCTTGGCTACAATGTGCCCTACCCCGAATAACTCTATTAACCACCCTAATTAATTTCAAATTAACTAAATTAAGATTAATACCCTAATAGACTTAAAATTTTTATTCAAGAAAATTTGTTTAACATAAAACACACCTTCTTAAGCATTTTAGAGTATACAATTCAGTGGCTTTTAGTACAATGATCATGTCATGTGGCTGTCACTACTATCTAATTGCAGAGCATTCTCAACACCCCTAAAAGAAACCCACCCTCACTCGCACTCGATTTTCTCCTAACCCAAGCCCATGGAAACAACTCATTTGTTTTCTCTCCCTATGGATTTGCCTATTCTGGACACTTCACTCAAATGGCATCAAACCATGTGTGGTCTTTGTGGATGGCTTCCACAAGCACACATTTTTTAACATCCACCCACAGCCTAGCATGTAGCAGTATGCATTCCTTTTTATGGCTGTATAATACCCCACAGTATGAATATGCCACAGTTGGTTTATGCAGTCATAATTGGATAGAAATTGGGATTTGTTCCTCTTTTGGACCATTGTGAATAATGTTGCTTTGAAGGCCCATGGGCAAGTTTTTCTTTGAACATATGTTTCCAATGCTCTTTTGCACATACCTAACATGGGACTCTCCAGGTTGATAGTAATTCTAGGTTTAAGATTTTAAGAAATGCCAAGCTATTTTCTGAGATGGCTGCATCATTTTACATTCTGACCAGTGATGTATGAGGGTTTCCCTTTCTCTGCATCTTTACCAACACTCGTAATTTTCCATTATGTTGAATACAGCCTTCATATTGAGTGTGAAATAGTATTGGGCTGTGGCTTGAATTTGCATTTCCCCAATAATTAATGATATTGAGCATCTATCTTGTGCTTATTGACCATCTGTATATCTCCTGGAGAAATGTTTATTCCAACTGTTTACTCATTTTCATTGACTTCTTTGTCTTTGATTATTGAGTTCTAAGAGGTCTTCATATATTCTCAACACTAGAGCCTTATCAGTTACATGAGTTGCACATAGTAGGAGACTTCAATACCCCACTTTCAACAATGGATACAACATCCAGACAGAAAATCAGGAACAGCAGACATGAACAACATTAAATACTAAATGGAACTATCAGACAATATACAGAACATTTTACTGAACAGCAGCAGAATCCACATTCTTCTCAAGGGCACACAGAATATCTTCCAGAATAGATCACGTGTTAGGTCACAAAACAAGACTTAAAACAATTAAGAAGACTCAAAGGAATGGAAAGATATTCTGGGCTCATGGATTAGAAGAATTAACATAGTTAAAATGTCCAGACTTCCTAAAGCAATCCACAGAGTCAATGGAATTCCAATCAAAATCCCAGTGATGCTTTTGCAGAAATAGAAAAATCCACCCTAAAATTCATATGGAATCTCACGAGACTCAAAATAGCCAAAATAATTCTGAACAAGAACCAAACTGGAGGACTCACATTTCCTGATTTCAAAATGTACTGCAAACCTACAGTGATCAAAACAGTATGATACTGGCACAAAGACATAGAGACCAATGGCATAAAACAGAGAGCCCAGAAATAAACCTTCATATATCTGGTCAAATGATTTTTGACAAGGGTGCCAAGTCCATTCATTGGAGAAAGGACAGTCTTTGCACAGATGGCACTGGGAAAACTGGATATCTACATGCAAAAGAATGAGGTTGGGGGACTATCCCGGTGGCATAGTGGTTAAGTTTGGCACACTCTGCTTCAGTGGCCTGGGTTCACGGTTTTTGGATCCTGGGTGCAGACCTACACCACTCATCAAGCCATACTGTGGTGGTGACCCACATAAAATTAGAGGAAGATGGGCACAGATGTTAGCTCAGGGCCACTCTTCCTCGAGCAAAAAGAGGAAGATTGGCAATAGGTGTTAGCTCAGGGCCAATCTTCCTCACCAAAAAAAAAAAACAAAGAAAGAAAGAAAGAAATTGGACTCTCATTCAACACCACGTACAAAACCTAACTTAAAATGGATCAAGGACCTACACGTAAGATCTAAACAATAAAACTCTTAGAAGAAAACATAAGACAAAAGCTTCCTAACACTGGACTTGGCAATGATTTCCTGAATACAACACCAAAGACACAGGTAACAAAAAGAAAACAAATAGACAACTGGACTTAAGGAAAATTTTTTAAATTGGTACGTCAAAAGGAGCTATCCATACAGTAAAAAGGCAACCCATAGAATGGGAGAAAATATTTGCAAGTCATATTTCTGACAAGAGATTGATATCCAGAAAATATAGAGAACTCCTAAAAGTAAACAACAAGGAAACAAGCTGATTCAAAAATGGGCAAAGGACTTGAAAAGACATTTCTCCAAAGAAGATTTACAAATGGCCTATAAGCACATGAAGAGGTGCTTGAGATAGCACCTCACACCCATTAAGACGGCTGCTGTCAAAAAAACAGTGAGTGTTGGCGAGGATGCAGACAAAGTGGAACCCTTGTACACTGTTGATAGGAATATAAAATGGGGCAACTGCTATGGAAAACAGTATGGAAGTTCCTCAAAAAATTGAACATAGACTTACCATATGACCCAGCAATTCCACTTCTGGGTATATACCCAAAAGAACTGAAAGCAGGGTCTCAAAGAGATATTGTACACCCACGTTCACAGCAGCATTATTCACAACAGCTAAAATGCGGAAGCAATCCAAGTATCCACTGACCCAGGAATGGAGAAACAAAATGCAGTAAATACAAACAATGCAATATTATTCAGCCTTAAAAAGGGAACAAATTCTGCAAAATGCTACAACATGGATGAAACTTGAGGACACTGTGCTAAGTGAAATAGGCCAGCGACAACAAGATAAATACTGTCTGATTCCACTTATATGAGGACTTAGAGTAGTCAAAATCATAGAGACAGAAAGTGGAATGGTGGCTGCCAAGGGCTGGGGGTAGGAGAGAAGGGAGAATTATTTTTTCATAGGGACCGAGTTTCAGATTTACAAGAGTTACAGGGATAAATGGCAGTGATGGCTGCACAACAACATGGATGGATGTAACAGCACTGAAAATGGTTAAGATGGTACAGTTTTTGTTATGTGGATTTTGACTCAATATAAAAAAAGGAAAACAAAAAAAGAAATGAGCTATCTACCCACAAAAAGACATAGAGGACCCTTAAATACATATTGCTAAGTGAAAGAAGCCAACTGGAAAAGGCAACATACTCTATTCCATAGTATCCATCTATTCCAATTACATGACATTCTAGAAAAGTCATGACTGCGAACATCAGTGGTTGCCATGGGCTGGGAGGCAAGGGATGAACAGGCGGAGGGCCGGGCTATTAGGGGAATCCAACTCTTATGTAGGGTGCTGTCACGGTGGATGCACAAGATTATACATTTGTCAAAATCCAAGTACAAGACAGAGAACTTTACTGTAATTGATGGGCTTAGGTATTAACGCTGTATCAATATCGGTTCATCATTTGTAAGGAATGAACGCACCAACACGAGAGGTCACGCAAGATGTTGACAGTAGGGGAAACTGTAGGGAAGGAGGGAGAAATGCTCTGTACCACCTGCTGAATTTCTCCGTCCATCTAAAACTTTCCTAAAAACAATCTATTAATTAAAAAATAATCAACAGAAGTTACAGAGTGGGTAGAAATACAGATGAAACAAGAATATAAGTATATTGGTAAATGTTGAAGCTGGGACATGGGGGGCTTATCATACTTTTTGGTTTAATTTGTATGTGTTCAGGATTATCCCAAATAAAACCTTTTTAAAATTCCACATTAATTCTAGATTACATGTACAGTGAATCCAGGAACGAGAGGGAAACAGCCATTTTTGAAGCACGCACTCGGGGGGCGCACAGAGGAAAAGTGCCGTCACACCCGATAGACGTGAACGTCCCGGCTACATCGGGAAGGTTGGGAGCTCAGGAAGCAAGGCGGGCGACGGCATGGTAGGGGAATAACAGAGATACTGAACCTGGAAAAATGTTCGCCCTCACTGGTCACAGAAATGCCAACGATGGACTCTGACAGAACTGCCCCAGAATTTACAATGCCAAGACACTCGGGGTTGGAGTGGGCTCAGGGACGCAGCCCCGCATCCTGTGAAAATGCCCGTCAGCACCGGCTTTCCAGAGGGCAAACTTCCTGAACCCTGTGACCCGCCAGCCACTGGCCCAGGTGTTCTGTTACAGGGAATCTGTCTCAAAACAAAGGGATTGGCTAAAGATGATGAACTGAATAAACATGGTAGAGCCCCTTCAACATAAAATCCCTCAAAAATGACCCAAAGATTCCTCGTTGACAAACAAATTCATTAACAGCCCTGGGAACCATCAAGAAAGCAGACATTTTTGAGGAAAACATCAGAGAGAGACAGCAGGTGGTGACCAAGGATCTCAGTGGGGGCTCCAGGTGGGCCTTGGAGACCAAGCCAGTGCGCCCTCTCTCCCTCCGACCCTCCCTCTGCTGCTCCCCTAACGCCTCCTGCATCCCCCCCTCCACTCCCAACCAGCACCCCCTCACACTCCAGGAACAAGGAGCAGAGGCGCAGGGCGCCCTTTCCACCAGCGCAGCATCTGTCCTCTTGCTCTCTGTCCCTCCCCGGGCAGCGGAGCCCAGGAGCCCAGCCCCGCACCTCCTCAGGGCCCATCTCACTCCTCCCTGGCCCTCAGGCTCCTCCTCTCCATCCGGTGCCACCTGCAGCATAGACACCTGCTCGCTTGTCTCCACCTTACAAACAAAACTCTCCCTTGGACCCAGGCTCCTTTTTGGTTACTGTCCACTTTCCCGACTCCCCTTCATGGCTAAACCTCTTAAGCAAAGTGCCTCGCCACTACTGCCCTCCACTGCCCTCCTTCACCCACTTTAGACCCAGCTCCATTCTCACCACTCCAAGGAGACTGCGCTCACCAGTGATCCCATGTGACCAAGTCCAGCATCTCTCCTCCATTCTGATCAGAGCTGTATCCCAGCCAGCTGAGCACCCCTCCTTTCTGCAACACCTTTGTCCCCTCCTGGCTCCCGGGACTCCATGCTCCACTGTTTCAGTCTCCTTTCCCGCACTCTCTTCAGCTGCACCTCTATAAACACTGCCTGCTCCTACGCTGGGCCCGGGTCCCTTCTATAGCTACACAGTTTCTCCAAGAAAGTTCCTTCTATTCCATGGTTTCAAACATCTCTGACCTCCCCAGACACTGCAGACACACAGACGTGGCTTTAATAGGTTGGGTGCTGGCTCCCAGCATCAGTACCCAACGAGTATCTCAAACTCGAGTTCTCTCAAAATTTTACTGTCATACGAGTTCCAAAAAGATCATTAAATATTTCTAAAAAGGATGAAAAATTTGGCTACAATAAATAGCAGTGAATAAAGTAACCCATAAAATGTATACTTACATCTAATCATAGTTGCCTGATGGGGAAAGTAAGAACACAGAACTAAGATCAGACCGTCTTGAGCTGGGGAGCGGAAGGTGACGAGCTGGGATGTAGGACACAGGAACTGGTCCCCTCTGAGCACTTACAGGAAGAGAGGCTGAAATGGTTGTTCCTGAAAGCTGAAAGACACCCACTAGACAAATAGAAAAAAAAACAGTGAGAAAGCCTAACAAATGAAAAACTAAATAAAATGCCAGGCCCAAATCCCAACTTATGAATAATCACAATTGTAAATGGATTAAATTACTCTATAAAAAGACAAAGACTCTCAGATTGAGTTAAAATACAGCTATAAAATAAAGGGGTATAATAAGGTTGAAAATAAGGAGATAAGGGAATAAGACTTTAAATGGGACAAAAGCGGTTTTCTGAGTTGATAGCAGTCAGGAACACTTATGTTCCTAACAACATGTTCTTGACAAATAAAGCAAAACTGGACAGACAAGAAGAAACGGGGACCTCGAGAATCACAGGGAGAGCCTGACCTCCCCTCTCCTAGAAACCCACAGTCAGGTGGTACAGTAAGTTAGGAAGCAGATCTGCTGATAACACAAATGAGCTGGATCCAGCCTAGCCTGAGGGGGAGCAATGCAAGCAACTAGTGGAGAGGACGTTCTGTCCTCAGACCACAGTGAAACAGCCACAATGGACTGTGTGCTAAGCCACAATGAAAGCTCTAAAGATTCCAGAAAGCGGCTATCTTTCAGTGATCACATTACTGGACCTTAAAGCAACAAAATTAAAAAATAATTACAAACAAACTGGCTTCCCTTCCCCCATCTATCCACTTGAAAAACTGTCTACACCCTTCTAAATCCCTCCGGTTTAAGGAGGGAATCCAGACTGAAAGGACAAACTCTTTAGAAATGAACAGCAATGAGAGCAGCATGAGGCAAATCCATGGTGTGGGGACAAAGGGAAAGAAGGGACACAGCCTCCCCTGCAGATATCAGGAAGTGTCAACTGTACACGAAGAAGCTGAGCTCTTCCCTCCAGGAGCCCGAACAATGACACAATAAAACTGAAGACAGTAGAAAGAGGTGAGGATTCATGAGGCAGAAACAACAGCGTTGACCTGAGTTAAGGATTGGTTGTCTGCACAGACCTGTAGTAGTGACCAACCTTGTGGAGTGTGACCAAGAGGAATAGACAAAGGCACCGAACAGTACCATAAGGTATGAGAAACTACAAAAACAGCTTCGCCATGCTAGGACAAAGTGGATAACTCTGACCAGGACATCAGCAGTCCGCAACTAGAGCTGTTCTTCCCTAGGATGCATCTGGAAACACACAGGATGGGTTTTGTTTCTTGTTTTGGATTCTGCTAATGATTGTTGCCCTGGGGGTCCAGGAGGTCCTGAACAGCCTGTCATATAGAGCCGTTTCCCACCTGAAGTGTTACTTACATCCTGGAAGACAAGCACTGATCCAGATTAAATGAACAATATGGTAGGGAAATGTTTTCTATGGATATATAACAGACAAAAGATGATATCCTCAACATGTAAACAACATCAAGAAAGCAATGTTTACAAGTACTAAACTGTAAATGAGGAGGAAAATCAGAAACATAGCCAATAAACATATAAAAAATATATCCAACCTATTTGTATGGGTAGAGAAATATGTATGTAAAGCACAGAAAACAGTCTAGGAGATTACACAGCAAATTTTACTAGTGACAAGGAATAAAAGTTGGAAGGCGGGTGAGAAATGGGAATTTTCAACACTTCTTGGCTTATATGTTCCTGTAGTGTTTTAATTTTTACAAAAGAGAATGTATTCTACTCAAACAGATGTTTAAAATTTTAAAGAAATTATTAAAATGTTCAAAATGACTTCACTTCAAGAATACTCATTAAAGCATGAATGGAAAGAACCTCCCCATGACTTTAAGAGTCTCCTATAACTTTTCTAATACTTTACTATGTCTATTTTATTTTACACTTAGATCCCAACTCATCTGGAATTTTCATTTGTGTAAGGGATGCACTAGAAGCTGACTGCCCCCGTTCAGGTGGAAAACCAACTGTCCAGGCGCCGTTCACTGAGCAGTTCTGGCTTTCCCAGCTGCTGAACTGCCTCCTTTCCCACTAGCTGAACCCCCACAGCCACAGATGCCTCTCGAGCACCCTGGAGCGAGTGGGTAAGTTCTCCAACCTGGGCTCCCTGCCCGCGAGGGACGGCCACCAGCAGCGACTTCTCCTGAGGTGGCAGGGGGCATGCTGCACACAAAAGTGCTCAGGGGCCGTCCGCTGCAGAGCAGGACACCCCCCAGTGATGAGCACGCAGTGGGAAAGCCCGAGGCCCGGGTACTGACCTGGGTTGGGGGCCAGCAGGCTGCTCAGGGAGGGGAAGCCCACTCTCCTCAGCTCATCCAGCTTCTGCAGCGTGTGTACCTGGCTGTCGGGACGGCTGCCCCTCTGCTGCAGGGTCTCCAGCTCGCCATTCTTCTCTACCTGCTCCTGCAGGCAGCACCCCTGCTCTTGTTCTGCCGGGAGGTGAAGCAGCAGGTCGAGGAGTCCTCGGGCCCCTGATGCTGACGGGATGACCCTGTTGAGGGACGTGTGGCTGGTGTCACTGTGCTCACTCTCACAGCTTCCACGGCTGGCTTTGGGGTGACACCTGTTGGAGGGGCAGAGGGGCTCTGGGACAGCTTCTGAGGCATCGCCGTGAATGAGAACTTGGGGGCTCCAGACCAAGCCCTTGTTGGGCCCAGGCTGGTCCTGCTGCAGCCGGGCTTCACGTCTCCCTGCAGGTCCTTTGCTAGACAGGCTCTCAGTGAACAGATGGCCCCTCTCGAGTGTGCTTAGGGGAGAATCTCTGAGAATGAAATGACCCAATAAATCTGCACGCCCCAATCCTGGGGGTAAAGTCCCCCACGGAAATGCCACTTCTACCTAGCAGGCCCCCAGCGGGAGAAGTGGGTCTCATCGCCAGCATCTACAGCAGACGTGTTTGCTTCTGCCAGGCTGCCTGATGCTGTGGCGGCCACACCGTCTCCTGGAGTTCCTTCCAGAGCCTGCACGCCCACTCCTGACGGGTGGGCTTCCTAGGCAGCCCCGGGTGCAGTTTCCCCCTGCAGAGCGGCTCCTTCAACCTGCAGGACTCAGGCTCGGCCAGCCCTCAGGTTTTCACTCAAGGACGACAGTGAACCTGCAGCTCCTTTCTTGTCTGCTTCACTCGCATGTTCCCTCGGGCCCCCCGCGGCCTTCCTGGTGTCCTTTCTCTTGGGGTGGCCATGGCTTCCAGGCCCCATCTTCCCAGTCAGGTTAAAGACGAAGGGCAGGGCTGTGGTTTCAGCATGCAGGACTGACCCTAAGCCTTTTGAAGAAGCTGTTTCCGGTGAAATGTTCACTACAGAGGCAAGAATACTTAGTGGGGGTGCAATTACCCCTCTGAACAGCTTTTAACCACTGGATCAGACATTTTGAGTCTTTGAGGGGGAACCTGCAGGACAAATGACAAAATAATTAGAAAGAAAGAATTAAATGTCTCCCCCTAAAATGACCAACTATAAAAGCAAAGCAAGTGTTTTTGCAAACACCTGTATCTACTTCACCCACTTAAACATTTAGTAAAGACTTAAGGAACACCTTCTACTTGTAAGTTATTACTGGAATGGAAAGATGAAAGCCCCACTGTCTACCTTAAGGAGCTCACAGTCTGTAGGACAAGTAAGGAAGGAAGGTGGGGAGCTCCTCCCAGGCTGCGGTAAATGCCCTGAAGGACACGGATGCTCAGAGAGACGGCACAGGAGGGCATCAAGACAACAGGAAGGGCTTCAGGAAGCCCCAGAAATAGTTCCTGGAAGCTCACGGCTGCCCAATCCTTCTCCTCTGCCTGGGATGCAGGACTTTGGGTGCTCAAACGAGGGGGGTTGGTCCCCCTATTTCGAAGCTAGGCCAGGTGTTGGCCAGCAGAGCATCCCAGACACTCATCAGGGTGCCTGGCCCCAGCCGTGGCTCAAGCAGCTGAGGAAGTGAGACCGCCTCTATGAGGAGGTCAGACTCAAGAGCTGCGGTTCTGTGTTCCTGCTCCCTTTAAAAGGCAACCAGCCCCTGGAAGATACTGACTAAGATACGCAATCATCACCTCTTCTCATAAAGGTAAGATTTCTGCTGAGACCAAACTGTGCACATGGCGAGGTGGGGGTGGTCATTCCAGAGGGCGTTCCGCTCCATCTGAGGCCGCTCTGGACCAGGGTGGATACTAGCTCCTCAGGAAGTTCTAAGCCACATGACCTAAACTTCCAAAGCTCTGTGAGCCTATTTCCCAAAGACCCCGTCTCCTTTGCCCCCACAGCACTTTAGACCATGAGGCAGGCCAAGAGCAGCCTTCCCGGCAGGGCTCTGCCTCATTTTCAAAAAGAGTGAAAAAATTGGGGGAGACACGCTCTGAAGGAAACTGTCAAGGAAGCTCGGTGGCTGACCTCTGAAATAAGCTCATGTTACTAGCTCTTTGGATAGAGTGTAACAACTTAAGCCTTAGAGAAAACCACTGTAAACTTCCAATAAGACTATAAGTAACAAACGTCGTTCAGGTCTTTCAAACTTCAATCACACCCTGAAACATGAAACAGAAGGATCTGCCAGGAGGTTTTTAAAGCAGCATCTCTTCCTTTCACTGTTCTGGGACGTCCGGTGCGGACTGCAGGAAAGGACTCGCTGAAATAGCTCAATTCCAGAAGCCCTCATGAAGGGAGCCAGGCCACTGGGAAAACACACTCCTCACTCTGCGGCCGGAGCCCATGGAAGAAGTGGCCAGAGGAGCCCCTTCTGCAAGTCCGCGGGGTCGGCCGCCCGGTGAGGAGTGCGCCCCGCTCCAGCCACGATTAAAAGCCTCTCCGGGACTCACCTCCACCCGCAGAGCCGCCTTTCCCTGGAGTGCCTGGGCCCTTCTAGTAACAGAGCGCCTGGGAGGCGTGTCCATATAGGAGGGACGAGCTGCATCTGCTCAGCTGCATTGCTGATGGCAGAGATCAAGGCAAGCTCCCCGCAACGAGGAGCAGAAAAGTCACGGCAAACCCAAGAGGACACTGACCTAAGGAATACACTGTTTCCGGGCATTGTCTACTCCAACCTAAATGAATGCGGGGCAGAGTGGCCGCGGGGCGGGGATGAAAGGGTCGTAGAGTCCGTAAGGTGGGCGCCAGGCGGCCGCGAAAGGGCTGCGGTGGCCCGAGGCGCCCGGCCCACAGACGGAGGTGCGGGCCAAGGTCACACAGCACCCGGCGCTGACTCACTCCCTGGACCGACCCCAAGGCCCTGCGTATAGAGTGCCACCCGCCTCGGGCTGGACCGTGCGGGGCGCTGACCCAGCGGCGGCGGGAGGGGCCCCGATACCTGTGGATGGAGACGGCGACTTCTCCCCCTTGCCCGGCCGGTGGGAGGACTTTGCGGCCGGCGGCGGATCACGATCTCCGGCCTCGAGCTGTCGCACAGCCACCAAGCTCCGCCACTCGCATCGCCGCCCCAAGCCCCGAGCGGGACCGCCCCGAAGGGAGGACACACGGCGACACGGCTGCGGGACGTGGGAGCTGGTCCCCGCGGCGCCCGCCCGCCGGGTCAACCCTCGGACTTCGGCACTCACCAAGTCCCCGGCACCCAGTGGGGCGTAGCCTGGGCGTCGCAGCAGCGCAGATGGGCTCGGGTGCCCGCGGCTCGGTGCAGGGTCGTGGCGCACCAAATCGGTCCGTAAAGCAAGATGGCCTCGCCCGTGGCCATGGGCAAAAAGCAAGCTGAGGAGCCTGCCCGTGGGTTTGCTTCCGCTGCCCCGACGGTCTGCTGCAGCCCTCGGAGCGAACGACTCAGGCCGCCCGGGAGCAGAGAGCGCCGGCGTGTTCTCGGCGCTGCGCCCGGCCGTACGCCAAGATGGCGACCAGCGCACTTCCGGCGCACTGCCGGTCCCGCATCTTTGTTCCGTCGGATCCGCCCGGCGGCGGCCCGGCGCGTCGCGCTGCAGGACCGTCAGGGCGACGGCGCGCTCAGTCGCGGGCAGAGCGGGAGGGTGGACGCAGGTGAGGGTTTCACAGGCGCGGGCCGACCCCGGACGCTGTGCTCGTCTCGTCCCTCGGCCGCCGGCGACTCCCCTGGCGTGGCCCGGCCGCGGGACCGGGGGCGGAGCCGGGCCCTCTGGCGGACCGGGCGGGGCGGCGTGCGCTGGAGGCCGGCGCGGGTGTGACAGCCCGGTGTCGGCGGGTCCCGGCGCTCTTCCAGTCCGTCTGCATCCCCCAGGCTTCTGCTCTGGGCCACATGGCTTCGGACCACAGTGATCTTGTAAATGACACAACCCAGTGTTTGAACAATCCAGCAACTTCACACAAACCCACTGTTTGTGTGGAAAGGAGCAAAAAAACATTGTAAGGCATTTTTCTCCTTTAACGAAAAAACCCACATGAATTTAATACTTCCAGAAAATAATGATATTAATTATGATTTCCATGGCAAGAAATTGTTTTATAAACAAGTAATCATACTTAACACTTCTGCTGTTCAAGTCTAAACCCTGGAATTCCATTTGTGAACACCTTAACCCAAAGAAAAGAACAAATCTCAGAATATTACTACACACCCTCCGGGGAGAAAAAAAGGGAAACAAGGATTTTTAACACATTCAATGTAATACTAGAATATTTTCTCTTTTCTGGAAATTCACCTATTTCTTACCTCTTTGGAAATATTTTACACTATCTTTCAAGCTCTAATGAGTACATAATTTTTTTTTTAAGATTTTATTTTTTCCTTCTCCCCAAAGCTCCCCCCTTACCCTTGGTACATAGTTGTGTATTTTAGTTGTGGGTCCTTCTAGTTGTGGCATGTGGGATGCCGCCTCAGCACGGCCTGATGATCGGTGCCGTGTCCGTGCCCAGGATCCGAACCGTGGAAACCCTGGGCCACCAAAGCGGAGGGCCGCTGGGACGAGCAGGGGGACGGGCACCGGGCGGGGGGAGGGCCGCCGGGCAGAGCTGGTTCTGGAAACCGCCTTTGCCCCCCTCCTGCCACCCCCTGCTAGGAGTTGAGCGGAAACCCTTTAACTCTTACGAAGTCGCATTTTGGGCTGAAGGGGAGAAACGTGCTCCAACACCCACAGCACACGCCCCTTTTTAATTTTTATTTCAGTGACCGAAAGGTCATTCAAGCTTCTTTTTCTATGATTGAAAATAGAAACTGAATGTCTCTCGTCGTGTCTTAACTTCTTGGGGTCCTAATACAAAGTGTGTGTGTTGAGGGCGGGGCTTTAGTGTTTTGGCCAATCTGGGGCGACGGTTCCTTAATTTTTGCTGGCAGTTATTTTGGATCTTTGTCAGTAGCCCTGAAAGCGTTTGTACCCTGGCTCTCGTTTTCTTCCGCGGCAGTTTTGGGTCTTTCATTCCTGGTAAGGAGTGGCTTGCCTTCCAGTACCCCCGCGTCTGTGAAGGGAGCTTTCATCTGGTTTAATTCCACCTGTCACGCTGGATGGCTTTGCTTTTGCTTGCTTTTTCTTTTCCCGGCAGCTGCAACGTAAGTTTACTGGAATCTCAGTTTGGTAACTGTAAGGTAGACACGTAGGGCCAATAATTCAATGATTTGTGGCATCTGGTCATTTAAATGTGTTAGGTAGCCCTGACTCCCAAAGGAGCATGTTCAGCAGATGTATTTTTTGTGAAGTTTGTTTAAAAAAGAAGGAGTGTCAGACAGTGTTGTAGTGTTTTGGGGGGCACAAGGTGGGGGAAGGAATAGAATGATTTACTTTTCGATTTTTTCTCAGGTTATTACTGCTCACATACCTGAGACCATTCATAGGAGAGACTTGGTTAAGGCAGAAAACACAGTTTAGTGTCGGTCATGTTAGCTTAGATGTGAAAGTCATCGTGTTAAAGTTAGGAGTAGCCACATGGTGGTCCATAATGGGACCCTGGAGGCTGATTCAAAGTAGAAAAGGTGTTTGCATTTGAAGGCCTCTGTTGATGCTGATAAAAACATATATGATATTTGTACGGTGTGCTGGGGAGTTTTCTTCCTGACGTGATGCTGTATGTCCTTTTAGGAATGGTTAACCGACCAGCCTCCCCTGATCCCTGGAGTTCTTACAGATTTGGCCTTCTTTGCCCAAGTTTTAGGCAGTTCCTGGTTGTTGTTGTTGTTGTTGTTTTTAATTTTTATTGAGTTAATGATAGGTTACAATCGTGTGTGATTTCAGTTGTACATTATTGTTTGTCAGTCAAGTTGTAGGTGCACCCCTTCACCCTTTGTGCCCACCCCCCACCCCACCTTTCCCCTGGTAGCCACTAATCTATTCTCTTTGTCTACATTTTTAAATTCCTCATATGAGTGGAGTCATACACAGATTATCCTTCTCTCGCTGGCTTATTTCACTTAACATAATTCTCTCAAGGTCCATCCATGTTATTGCAAATGGAATGATTTTGTTCTGTTTTGCAGCTGAGTAGTATTCCATTGTATATATGTACCACATCTTCTTTATCCATTCGTCTGTTGATGGGCACTTAGGTTGCTTCCATGTCTTGGCTATTGTAAATAATGCTGCAATGAACATTGGGGTGTGTGGGACTTTTGGAATTGCTGACTTCAAGCTCTTTGGATAGATACCCAGTAGTGGGATGGCTGGATCGTATGGTAGTTCTATTTTTAATTTTTTGAGGCGTCTCCATACTGTTTTCCACAGTGGCTGCACCAGTTTGCATTCCCACCAGCCGTATGTGAGGGTTCCTTTTTCTCCACAACCTCTCCAACATTTGTTACTATTAGTTTTAGTTATTTTTGTCATTCTAGTGGTTGTAAGGTGATATCTTAGTGTAGTTTTGATTTGCATTTCCCTGATGATCAGCGATGATGAACATCTTTTCATGTGCCTATTGGCCATCTGTATATCTTCTTTGGAGAAATGTCGGTTCATGTCTCCTGCCCATTTTTTGCTTGGGTTGTTTGATTTTTTGTTGTTGAGTTGTGTGAGTTCTTTATATATTATGGATGTTAAGCCTTTGTTGGATGTATGACTTGCAAATATTTTTCCCAGTTAGTGGGTTGTTTTTTTTGTTTCAATCCTGTTTTCATTTGCCTTGAAGAAGCTCTTTAGTCTGATGAAGTCCCATTTGTTTATTCTATTGTTTCCCTGTTCTGAGAGGACATGGTGTCTGAAAAGATCCTTTTAATACTGATGTCAAAGAGTGTACTGCCTACATTTTCTTCTAGAAACCTTATGGTTTCAGGTCTCACCTTTAGGTCTTTGATCCATTTTGAGTTTATTTTGGTGAATGGTGAGAAAGAATGGTCAATTTTCATTCTTTTACATGTGGCTTTCCAGTTTTCCCAGCACCATTTGTTGAAGAGACTTTCTTTTCTCCATTGTATGCACTCAGCTCCTTTGTCAAAGATTAGCCGTCCATAGATGTGTGGTTTTATTTCTGGGCTTTCAATTCTGTTCCATTGATCTGTGCACCTGTTTTTGTACCAGTACCATGCTGTTTTGATTACTGTAGCTTTGTAGTATGTTTTGAAGTCAGGGATTGTCCTCGTTGTTTTTATAGTCATCCACTCAGTAAGCTACATTTCTTATTGAGTGCAAGGTTTGTGTTGCGCATTGTTCTAGATCCTGGGGCTAGAGAAGTGAACAAAATAGACAAAAGCCATGCCCCGACTGACACTGTAGACATGACACCAGTGGTGTGGCTCATGTGGAGAGTGATGTGGGTCAAGCCAGAGTGGGGTGGAGTTGTAGCCAGGATGGCCAGGAAAGGGCTCACTGCAGAGGTAAGTTTTGAACAAGATCAAAAGCATTGCAGGAGGAAGGGCAAGCGGCCTGGTCTGGGAGCAGCAAGTAGTCCAGTGTGGCAAGGGTACAGCAGGTGGGGGTGAGGGCAGCAGGAGCTGAAGGCAGGTGACTTGGGCCCAGTGATGGGGCCTTGTTGGTCATAGTGAGGACTTGGGCATTTATTTATTCTGAATGAGACGGTGACCCTTTGGAAGGTTTTGAGAGGAGGAGTAACGTGCCCAGACGTATGTTTGGCCGACTTGCTCTGGCTGCTCTGTTGAGAATATACTGCAGAGGAGCCAGGGCAGAGGCCAGGAGCCCAGTTAGGAGGCTGCTGCAATACTCCGGGCCAGAGGCCTCGGAAGCTTAGGTCAGGGTGCGGAGAGGAGGTTGAATTCTGGGTGTGTTTGAAGGTCGAGACAGGAGGACCGGGTACAGATTGGAGGTGGTGAGGGGTGGGGTTGGGAGGGAGGGGTTGAAGACAGTGCTGAGTCTATGGCCTGAGCTCAGAAACTCAGCTGGGGAGGACTTGTGGAGGTCCTGCTTGGTGGGGAGCTGTTGGGAGTTTGGTTTCTCTGAGTTGGCTGTGAGATTTACTTTTTGTCTAAGGAAAGCAGAGAATGAGCACCTGGAATACATTGTATAAAATCCCTCTGTCCCACTCCCGGGCTTTTCCTGGGCACAGACATCCCACGGAAAGTCCTCTGGGTGGAGATTCCTCTCTGCAAACCTTCTTGGGTGTTCTAACCTGTCAGCACTGCCCCTCCCTGGGTTTGTCACCTGGAAAAGATTTACTCACTTAGTTGAGCCTCAGTTTTTTTAAGATTAAAATTTATGTAATCAGGGCGGGCCCTGTGGCTCAGCGGTTAAGTTCGAGAGCTTGGCTTCGCAGCCCAGGGTTTCGCCAGTTCGGATCCTGGGCCCAGACAAGGCACCGATCATCAGGCCATGCTGAGGCGGCATCCCACATGTCACAACTAGAAGGACCCACAACTAAAATACACAACTATGTACCAGAGGTAGGGGGGAGCTTTGGGGAGAAGAAGGAGAAAATAAAATCTTAAAAAAAAAAAAAATTTATGTACTCATTAGAGCTTGAAAGATAGTGTAAAATATTTCCAAAGAGGTAAGAAATAGGTGAATTTCAGAAAAGAGAAAACATTCCAGTATTATGTTGAATGTGTCAAAAATCCTTGTTTCCCTTTTTTTTCCTCCCCTGAGCATGTGTAGTAATATTCTGAGATTTGTTCTTTTCTTTGGGGTAAGGTGTTTACAAATGGAATTCCAGGGTTTAGACTTGAACAGCAGAAGTGTTAAGTATGATTACTTGTTTATAAAACAATTTCTTGCCATGGAAATCATAATTAATTAATATCATTATTTTCTGGAAGTAGTAAGTTCATGTGGGTTTTTTTGTTAAAGGAGAAAAATGCCTTACATTTTTTTTTGCTCCTTTCCACACAAACGTGGGTTTGTGTGAATTTGCTGGATTGTTCAAACACTGGGTTGTGTCATTTACAAGATCACTGTGGTCCAAGGCCATGTGGCCAGCAGCAGAGGCCTGGGGTCCGGGTCTCTAAGCTAAGGCCCCCTTGGGCCTGCACAGGGAAGTGCTTAAAGGCCCACATGCTTCCTGGGACACCTCCCCCTGCTACTGTCGTTGTCCTGGCACCCAGCACAGAAGGAGCCTTTACCTGAGAGAAGCTGCAGAGCCCTGGGAAGTGGGGAGGCACCTGCACAGGGGCGGGACTTGCTGCCCTTTCTGAGGTGGTCCCTGTGCTTCCCCTCGGCCTTTGTGTAGACAGAGGCTGGAGTTTTGCATCTCAGTGTAGGTGCACTCAGAGTGTAATTTGTGCACATTAAGAAAGTCTGTGAAAGTCAGGAGTTCTGTGTCTGGATTAGGGTTTACACATTTGGGGGTTCATTTGGGTCACAACCTTAACCTGCATCCTGCTGAGAGATTCCTCCTTCGTGAGGGTGGAAGCTGAGAGAGGGAGCCCTTCTCTTACTCCCCGGGGAGAGGAGGGTGTGTGAGCTCCCTGGGTTCTTTCCTGTGGCTGCTCAGCTGTCCCCCAGCCCTCCTGCGCCAGGGACCGACCCACTCCAGGGCTTCTGTCTCCACCGGGAGAGCCTAGAATGTGTCTCACTTTCTAAATGTGTCTTTCTTTCTGTCCTGTGGGAAACAGGCTGCATATCTGCGCTGACTCCAGTGTTTGTCCTTTGGATTCCTGTATCAACTGAACAGTGCAGCTCTGTGGCTCCAGTTTCCCTTAGCACTTTGTAATTTTATCCCCTGTGTGAGAAATAGCATTTTGAGTTTGCTAGGCTTAAAAATGTAAGTTGATTGAGAGAGAGAATGTCAGTAAGAAAACTGGAATTAAATAGAATTTTTGTTCCTTTCAGGCAAGAGAATCTCAAGATGTGAGATGAGTGTGTTTAAGTTTTCAGGTACATTTTTCATCTTTACATCAGTGTTTGTGTGCGCATGTCCCTAAAGAACATTGAAATTTAAAGGGTAAAGCAATAGAATTCCTATTTTAATTGATGTGAAGAAAAGTAATCTGAGCATATGTAAGTCTTGAAAATCCTACTACATTTAAGGAGCTAAACCCAAACCCCTGTTGTATTATAATATGCTACTCATTCCTGAAAATTCCCGTGTGTGAGAAAGAGTGGAAGGACAAACTAGGATGCGATTTGTCCTTTTAGTTAGCAAGAGCTTTGAAATTTTCATTTTGTATGATTTACTATTTTGTAACTGTTAGCATGTTAAAGGAATTAAATCTTAAAATGGTTTTCTATGTACAAAAGTTAAATTTCAAAAGCTATGAAATAGGAAAATGATGTATATAAATTTCTCTGTTGGTTTTAAATAAGTCTGTAAAATAGAAAAGCCTAACTTCAGGAGACTCACTGCCAACATTCTGGGTCCCCTCCAGTAGTCTTATTCCAGCCACCTCCAGTAAACAGTTTTGATCATTCTTGAGCTTCCTGTTGGTGTTTCTTTATATAAAGACAAGCCATTGCCAATGCATATTTTTCTTAGCCATGTTTGCCCTTGTAAGGAGCGGTCAGACTCCCCACTTTTTGATGTGTGCTCACAGCTTACACCTTCCTCTCTCTCATCCCCTTGTGTCCACACCTGGACCCGCTGAGGAGGAAGTCTGGAGGCTCCCTGCTCTGGCATCAGCTTCGCATCCAACCAACCATACAAGCCCCTGTCTGTGTGGAGAACTCTTGCCCTGGCCCCACCCCTCGCAAAGAGTTTTTCTTTGACCAAACTTTAGTCAGAGTCCTGAACCCTCCACTAGGCTGGTCTGTGCACTTCCTTGTTCAATCCAGTTTTAGCAAGAACCCCCCCCCCCCCCCCAGCCCCCGCCCCTATCGGATCACTCTCTGTTTCTGCTCAGGCTCCTTCTCCTCGTCCACTATCCCTCAGGTAATGTGTAATCATCTGAGCCTGTCTTCACTGAGAATCCTATTAGGTGGGTTTAGCCAGAACCCCCTAACCCTTAATTTTTCTCTTCGGAATTTTCCATCCACTGGCCAGCACCCCCGCCACCCTTGCTGTCTGGCTGTGTAATCCCACTTGCCCATGCCGTATTCAGAGTTGAACCCAATCTCCTTTCTTCTCCACTGTAAAATCCCATTACAGTGGTCCCTACTTATTGCAGTGGTCTTAAATAAAATATGCCTCACCCTCTTTGACAAGTGTCATTGAATATTTGTTCTTTAAAACCCCCAGCGACAGTAAAATCCCAGTCCAGCCTCTTTTTCTTGCTCTCTCTAGCCATTTTTCAGAGCTGCTTGAGATGCCGGCCCTTCTGTCCCCGGAGACCTCTATTATATGAGTCATAAGACTTTTCCTACCTTCTGCGGGGTGGGGGGCGCAGGACACCAGTATCAGTCTCTACGTGAGAAGCACAGTATTTGTCAGTGAGCAGCAGTATTTTGAAAGTAATGTTTTTTTCTGAGCAGTAGGTCTGAACAGTAGGCTTAAAATATTCAGTAAACCATGTTGTAAACAGATGTGCTGTCACCCAGGCTTTGTTCTTCCATTTACAGATCAGAGGCAGAGTGAATTCTAATTCTTCAGGGCCCTGGGATTTTCAGAATGGTAAATGAGTATTGGCTTCAACTTAAAGTCACCAGCTGCATTAGCACCTAACAAGAGAGTCAGCCTGTGCAAAGGCCAGGGGTTGGATTAGGGTAGGGGAGAGAGAACAGGACCAGTTAGAGGAACCAAAGGATGGACTGTGAGACAGGAGTTGGGGAAAGGGCCAGAGTAGTCAGTAACAGCACAGCAGGTCAAGGTACCAGGCACCATGTCTAGGCGTCAGGACCTTCTCCTAAGTATAGTCAGTGGGTGAGCCCCGTCTCTGGTTGGGTCTCTGGGGGACAAGGATGCAGTGTCTTACCTGCCATGTCTGTCTGTCCACAGCTACCAGACCCTGACCAGGGAGTATGAAGCGCTGGTGCAGAATTACCTGCACCTGCTACTGATCGTGGAGACAAGAAGACAGTGGTCACGCAGCTGCAGCAGCAGATCAAGGGTGAGGATATGGATATCAAGCAGCTGAAGGCAGAGGTGACAGCTGGCCAAGGGTGTGGAGGAGGCTGGCTGGGGGGCCCACGGCCCAGGCCCAACGCCTCAAGCCCCAGGCTCCTGCAGGATCAGGGGGGCACATGACGGACAGAGCAGGACCAGCTGCCAGTCACAGCTGTGCCAGCCTCCAAACATAATTTCAGTGATGCTGGCAGAGTGGGAAGCCTTGTAGTCAGATGTGGGTTCAAATCCTACCTCTGCCACTTAACAGTTGCAATCTGGAGTACATCCCCCCAACCTCTGTGCCTCCGTTTCTTTGTAAAACAGACTTTTTATATTTACCTGACAAGGTTGTGAGGATTAAGATTATTTCTGGGCAAGTTCCTAGTTACTGTGCTGATGAGCAGTGACTAGGCATTTCCCCATTGTCAGCCCAGGACTCTGGGGGCACAGGGTCCCTGGTGGGTCACTAGAGTGTGGGCTCCTGGCTCAGCTTCACGCAGTCCCCGCCCTCTGCCTGTTGTAAGAGCTCCTACAGGGGCTCACCAGGCATCATTCTGGAGGCCAGGTTATTGCCAGGTTAAGCCATCTAGAACCTCAGTACCTAAAGTGTGGTCCATGAAGCAGCAGCTCATTAAAAATGCGGAATCTCAGCCCCCACAGACGTCCGAAATCAGAAGCTGCGCTTTGACAACATTCCAGGTGATTCCCATTTACATTAAACCTTGGGAAGCGCTGGCTCTCAGCCCTTTAGATGCCTGTCACCAGCTCTCCACCCCACCACAGAATGATCTGATTGCCTTTCCCTTCCATCCCCGTTACCTCACTAGTGTACTTGGAACCATCTGGCCACATCACACAAGCACCATGGACTCTGAGCTGAGGAGGGGAAAATGGAAACACACATTCCTGCAGTCAGAGTCGGCTACATAATTTGTAGGGCGTGATGCAAGGAGAAAATGTAAGATCCTGGGTGGAGTCGGGGAAGTCAGTCTCTCCTTCCAATGGCCCACCACCCTACCCATGGCAGACAGGCCACCCCCAGCTTCAACCTCCAGCCTCCTCTAACCTCTGTGCCGTGATATACTCGGTACCTACTTGAGGGGTGGGCACGAGGCCCCCTGCCACATCACCCACCTTGTGCCCAGACACTGTCTTCTCGCCCTGCCCTGAGACGCCTCAGGGTGTGCCCTGACCCAGCCTCTCTGCACCTACATCCAGGCCCCTGCAGAGCGGGGAGAGTGACTCACAGTGGGTGGGTTGTCTTTTTGTTTGGTTCATGGTTTCCTTTGCCTTGCAGAAGCTTTTTGGTCTGAGGTAGTCCCATTTGTTTATTTTTTCTTTTGTTTCCCTTGCCTGAGTAGACATGGTATTTGAAAAGATGCTAGGACTGATGTCAAAGAGTGTATTGGCCATGTTTTCTTCCAGGAGTTTTATGCCTTCAGGTCTTACTTTCAAGTCTTCAATCCATTTTGAGTTAATTTTTGTGTATGGTGTAAGATAATGGTCTACTTTCATTCTTTTGCATGTGGCCATCCAGTTTTCCAGACACCATTTATTGAAGAGACTTTCCTTTCTCCATTGTATGTTCTTGGCTCAAAGATTAGCTGTTCATAAATGTGTGGGTTTATTTCTGGGCTTTCAATTCTGTTCCATTGATCTGTGTGTCTGTTTTTGTGCTGGTACCATGCTGTTTTGATTACTATAGCTTTGTAGTATATTTTGAAGTCTGGGATTGTGATGCCTCCAGCTTTGTTCTTTTTTTCTCAGGATTCCTCTGGCTTTTGGGGGTCTTTTGTTGTTCCATATAAATTTTAGGATTCTTTGTTCTATTTCTGTGAAGAATGTCATTGGGATTCTGATTGGGATTGCATTGAATCTGTAAATTGCTTTAGGTAATATGGACATTTTAACTATGTTTATTCTTCCAATCCATGAGCATGGAATATCTTTCCATTTCTTTACGTCTTCTTCCATTTCTTTCAATAATGTCTTATAGTTTTCAGGGCATAGGTCTTTCACCTCCTTGGTTAAGTTTATTCCTAGACATTTTATTCTTTCTGTGGCAGTTGTAAATGGGATTGTATTCTTGACTTCTCTTTCTGCTAGTTCATTATTAGTGTATAGAAATGCAACTGATTTTTGTAAGTTGAATTTGTACCCTGCAACTTTATTGTAGTTGTTGATTATTTCTAATAGTTTTCTGGTGGATTCTTTAGGGTTTTCTATTATAGAATCATGTCCACAAACAGAGTTTTACTTTTTCCTTTCCAGTTTGGATCCCCAATATTTCTTTTTCTTGCTTAATTGCTCTTACTAAAACCTCCAGGACCCGGCCTGGTGGTGTAGTGATTGAGTTCATGCACTCCACTTTGGTGGACCGGTGTTCGTGGATTTGGATCCTGGGCCCAGACCTACACACACCACTCACCAAACCATACTGTGGTGGCATCCCACATACAAAATAGAGGAAGATTGGCATAGATGTTAGCTCAGGGCCAATCTTCCTCAAGCAAAAAGAGAAGGTTGGCAACAGATGTTAGCTCAGGGCCAGTCTTCCTCACCAAAAAAAACCACCTTCAGTACTATATTGAATAGGAGTGGCAAGAGTGGGCACCCTTGTCTTCTTCCTGTACTCACAGGGATGGCTTACAGTTTTTCACCATTGAGTATGATGTTGGCTGTGGGTTTGTCACATATGGCCTTTATTATGTTCAGGTACTTCTATACTCATTTTATTGAGAGTTTTTTTTTTTATCATAAATGGATGTTGGATCTTGTCACATGTTTTCTCTGAGTGTATTGAAATGATTGTGTGATTTTTTAGTCCTCATTTTGTTAATGTGATGTATCACATTGATTTGCGGATGTTAAACACCCCTGTGTCCCTGATATAAATCCCACTTGATCATGATGTATGATCTTTTTAATGTATTGCTGCATTTGGTTTGCCAATATTTCGTTGAATATTATTGCATCTATGTTCATCATCAATATTGGCCTGTTATTTTCCTTCTTTGTGTTGTCTTTGTCTGGTTTTGGTATTGGGATAATGTTGGCTTCATAGAATGAGTTAGGAAGTATTCTATCTTCTTCAATTTTTTGGAATAGTTTGAGAAAGGTAAGTATTAAATCTTTGTTGAGTGTTTAGTAGAATTCTCCAGAGAAGCTATCTAGTCCTGGACTTTTGTTTTTGGGAGATTTTTGAATATTGTTTCAATCTCTTTACTTATGATTGGGTTGTTCAGATTCTCTGTTTTTTCTTGATTCAGTTTTGGGAGGTTGTGTGAGTCTGAGAATTTACCAGTTCTTCTAGGTTATCCAATTTGTTGGCATATAGTCTTTCACATAATCCTTTGTGTTTCTGTGGTGTCCACTGTAATTTCTCCTCTTTCATTTTACATTTTCTTTATTTGCACCTTCTATCTTCATCTCTGAATGGGTCTGGCTAAGAGTTTGTCAATTTTGTTTATCTTCTCAAAGATCCGGGTCTTAGTTTCATTGGTCCTTTCTGTTGTTTCTTGAGTCTTTACTTCATTGATTTCTGCTCTCATTTTTATTATTTCCGTCTGCCTGCTCACTTTGGGCTTCGTTTGTTGTTCTAGTTCTGTTACCTGCCGTTCAAGATTACTTATTTGAGACTTTTCTTGTTTGTTGAGGTGGACCTGTATTGCTATGAAATCCCCCTTAGGACCACTTTTGCTGCATCCCAGAAGACTTGGTATTTTGTGTTTTCATTTTCATTTGTCTCCAGGTATTTTTTGATTTCTCATTTGATTTCTTCATTGATCTATTGGTTATTCAGTAGCATTCTATATTTAGTCTCCACATATTTGTGACTTTCCCAGCTTTTTTCTTGTAATTGGTTTCTAGTTTCACAGCAGTGTGGTCAGAAAAGATGCTTGATATGATTTCAATCTTCTTAAATGTATTGAGGCTTGCCTTGTTTCCCAACATGTGGTTTATCTTTGAGAATGTTCCATGTGCACTTGAGAAGAATGTGTATTCTACTGTTTTGGAATGGAGTGTACTATATATATCTATTAGTCCTTCTGGTCTAGTATTTCCTTTAAGGCCACTGTTTCCTTGTTGACATTCCATCTGGATGATCTATCCTTTGATGTAAGTGGGGTGTTGAGGTCCCCTATTACTACTGTGTTTCTGTCAATTTCTCCCTTTAGGTCTGTGAATAGTTGCTTCATATACTTGGTGCTCCTGAATTAGGTGCGTATATACTTATAAGTGTTATGTCCTCTTGGTGCAATTTCCCTTTTATCATTATATACTGCCACTCTTTGTCACTCATTGTCTTTTTTATCTTGAAGTCTACTCTGTCTAGTATAAGTATGACAACACCAACTTTCTTTTGCTTTCCATTTTCTTAGAATATTGTCTTCCATCCCTACACTTTGAGCCTATATTTGTCTTTAGTGCTGAGATGTGTTTCCTGGAGGCAGCATACTCTTGTGTCTTATTTTTTAACCCATCCAGCCACTCTGTATCTTTTGATTGGAGAATTCAATCCATTTACATTTAGAGTGGTTATTGATTTATGAGGGCTTAATATTGTTATTTTATGTCTTGTTTTATGGTTGTTCTGTATTTCTGTTGTTTCTTTTCCCTTGTATGTCTGAGTGCCATTTCAGTTTGGTGGTTTTCTGTGATGGTTTTCTATTTTCTCTTCATTTATTTGTGGCTCTGCTCTGATGTTTTGTTTAGTGGTTACCATGAGGTTTGTGTAAAAGATCTCGTAGATGAGATAGTCTATTTTCTGATAGCCTCTTATCTCCATTAGCCTAAGTAGATTCCATTCCTTTACTCTTCCCCGTCTGAGTAATTGTTGTCACAAGATATTCTTTTTTGTGTTGTGAGTTTGTGATTATGTTGAAGTGTTTATCCTTATTTTTGATGCTTTCATTCCCTTTATCTTTTATAAGTATTTGCTAACCTACTCTAATGTAGAGCTTCAATTTTCTGATTCTGTCTATTTATATCCTTGCTCAAGGT